TATGCGCACTTTCTGTAGCCTGAATATAGGAGACGCAGCATAAAGCAGTTCTGTAAGCTGGGTTACGAGAGGCTATTTACAGAAGTTCTGCAGCCTAGTGTAGTAGACCACTTTGTGGGAATCTGCAGGTTGGAGTAGCATACACACTATACGGGTTTTCTGTAGCCTGATGTAGGAGACGCAGCATAAAGCAGTTCTGTAAGCTGGTGTACCGAGAGGCTGTGTACAGCAATTCTGTAGCCTGAGTGTAGAGAATCACTTTATGGGGCTCTGTAGGTAATGACTAGACATATGCACTTTGCGGTATTTCTGTAGCCTACACGCAGAGACACAGTTTATAGGCATTCTGTAAGCTAGCTCTAGAGTAAGCCATTTGCAGTTCTGCATCCTGAGTGTAGTAGACATAGTTATGGGAGTTCTGTTGCTTGGGAGTAGACATACGCAGTACGTGCGCTTTCTATAGCTTGAATGTAGGAGACGCAGTATAAGCATTCTGTAAGCTGAGTGTACACAGAGGCTGTTTACAGAAGTTCTGCAGCCTGAGTGTGGTGAGACACACTTTGTGGGAATTCTGCAGCTTGGGAATAGGCATACACACTATACGGTTTTCTGTAGCCTGATGTAGGAGACGCAGCATAAAGCAGTTCTGTAAGCTGGGTGTACCGAGAGGCTGTGTACAGCAATTCTGTAGCCTGAGTGTAAGGGAATCACTTTATGGGAGCTCTGTAGGTAATGACTAGACATATGCACTTTGCGGTATTTCTGTAGCCTACACGCAGGAGACCCAGTTTATAGGCATTCTGTAAGCTAGCTCTAGAGTAAGCCATTTGCAGTTCTGCATCCTGAGTGTGGTAGACATAGTTATGGGAGTTCTGTTGCTTGGGAGTAGACATACGCAGTACGTGCGCTTTCTATAGCTTGAATGTAGAGACGCAGTATAAAGCAATTCTGTAAGCTGAGTGTACACAGGCTGTTACAGGTTTTCTGCAGCCTGAGTGTAGTAGACACACTTTGTGGGAATTCTGCAGCTTGGGAATAGGCATACACAGTATACGGGTTTTCTGTAGCCTGAATGTAGGACGCAGCATAAAGCAGTTCTGTAAGCTGGGTACCGAGAGGCTGTGTACAGGTTTTCTGCAGCCTGAGTGAGTAGACAGTTTATGGAGTTCTGTAAATTCTGAGACGGCTTATGCACTCTTCAGGATGTTTGTGGCATGACTATAGGAAAACACTTTACGGGAGTTTGTAACATGGATGTAGAAGACACAGATCGCAGCAGTCTGCCGCCTGAATGTAAAAGACCCAGTTTGGAGTTCTGTTGCTTCCGATAGGCATATGCAGTATGCGCCGCTTTCTGTAGCCTGAATGTAGGAGATGCGGCATAAAGCTTCTCTAAGCTGGGTGTACAGAGAGGCTGTTTACAGGAGTTCTGCAGCCTAGTGTAGTAGACACACTTTCTGGGAATTCTGCAGGTTGGGAGTAGGCATACGCAGTATGCGCACTTTCTGTAGCCTGAATATAGGAGATGCAAGCATAAAGCAGTTCTGTAAGCTGGGTGTACCGAGAGGCTGTGTACAGCAATTCTGTAGCCTGAAGTAAGAGAATCACTTTATGGGAGTCTGTAGGTTCTGACTAGGCATATGCACTATTGCGGTATTTCTGTAGCCTACACGCAGGAGAACCCAGTTTATAGGCATTCTGTAAGCTAGCTCTAGAGTAAGCCATTTGCAGTTCTGCAGCCTGAGTGTAGTAGACACAGTTTATGGGAGTTCTGTAATTCTGAGACGGCTTATGCACTCTTCAGGATGTTTGTGGCATGACTATAGGAAAACACTTTACGGGAGATTTGCAACATGGATGTAGAGAGACACAGGTTGCAGCAGTTCTGCCGCCTGAATGTATAAGACACAGTTTATGGGAGTTCTGTGGCTTGGGAGTGAGCTAAGCAGTATGCGCACTTTCTGTAACCTTAATGTAGGACATGCGCATAAAGCAGTTCTCTAAGCTGGGTGTACCCAGATGCTGTTTACAGGAGTTCTGCAGCCTGAGTGTAGTAGACCCACTTTGTGGGAATTCTGCAGGTTGGGAGTAGGCTTACGCAGTATACGGGTTTTCTGCAGCCTGAGTGTACGAGACGCAGCTCACCGGAGTTCTGTATGCTGGCTGAACAGAGAGGCAGTTTACAGGAGTTCTACAGACTGAGTGTAGTAGACACACTTTGTGGGAATTCTGTAGCTTGGGAGTAGGCATACGCCAGTATGCGCACTTTCTGTGCCTGAATATAGGATACGCAGCATAAAGCAGTTCTGTAAGCTGGGTTACAGAGAGGCTGTTTACAGAAGTTCTGCAGCCTGAGTGTAGTAGACACACTTTCTGGGAATTCTGCAGGTTGGAGTAGGCATACGCAGTATGCGCACTTTCTGTAGCCTGAATATAGGAGATGCAGCATAAGCAGTTCTGTAGGCTGGGTGTACCGAGAGCTGTGTACAGCAATCGTAGCCTGAGTGTAAGAGAATCAATTTATGGGAGCTCTGTAGTGTCTGACTAGACATATGCACTTTGCGGTATTTCTGTAGCCTACACGCAGGAGACCCAGTTTATAGGCATTCTGTAAGCTAGCTCTAGAGTAAGCCATTTGCAGTTCTGCATCCTGAGTGTAGTAGACATAGTTATGGGAGTTCTGTTGCTTGGGAGTAGACATACGCAGTACGTGCGCTTTCTATAGCTTGAATGTAGGAGACGCAGTATAAAGCAATTCTGTAAGCTGAGTGTACACAGAGGCTGTTTACAGGTTTTCTGCAGCCTGAGTGTAGTAGACACACTTTGTGGGAATTCTGCAGGTTGGGAGTAGGCATACACAGCTATACGGGTTTTCTGTAGCCTGAATGTAGGAGACGCAGCATAAAGCAGTTCTGTAAGCTGGGTGTACCGAGAGGCTGTGTACAGCAATTCTGTAGCCTGAGTGTAAGGGAATCACTTTATGGGAGCTCTGTAGGTAATGACTAGACATATGCACTTTGCGGTATTTCTGTAGCCTACACGCAGGAGACCCATTTTATAGGCATTCTGTAAGCTAGCTCTGGAGTAAGCCATTTGCAGTTCTGCATCCTGAGTGTAGTAGACATAGTTATGGGAGTTCTGTTGCTTGGGAGTAGACATACGCAGTACGTGCGCTTTCTATAGCTTGAATGTAGGAGACGCAGTATAAAGCAATTCTGTAAGCTGAGTGTACACAGAGGCTGTTTACAGAAGTTCTGCAGCCTGAGTGTAGTAGACACACTTTGTGGGAATTCTGCAGCTTGGGAATAGGCATACACAGTATACGGGTTTTCTGTAGCCTGAATGTAGGAGACGCAGCATAAAGCAGTTCTGTAAGCTGGGTGTACCGAGAGGCTGTGTACAGGTTTTCTGCAGCCTGAGTGTAGTAGACACAGTTTATGGGAGTTCTGTAAATTCTGAGACGGCTTATGCACTCTTCAGGATGTTTGTGGCATGACTATAGGAAAACACTTTACGGGAGATTTGCAACATGGATGTAGAGAGACACAGGTCGCAGCAGTTCTGCCGCCTGAATGTATAAGACACAGTTTATGGGAGTTCTGTGGCTTGGGAGTGAGCATAAGCAGTATGCGCGCTTTCTGTAGCCTGAATGTAGGACATGCAGCATAAAGCAGTTCTCTAAGCTGGGTGTACCCAGATGCTGTTTACAGGAGTTCTGCAGCCTGAGTGTAGTAGACACACTTTGTGGGAATTCTGCAGGTTGGGAGTAGGCTTACGCAGTATACGGGTTTTCTGCAGCCTGAGTGTACGAGATGCAGCTCACCGGAGTTCTGTATGCTGGCTGAACAGAGAGGCAGTTTACAGGAGTTCTACAGCCTGAGTGTAGTAGACACACTTTGTGGGAATTCTGTAGCTTGGGAGTAGGCATACGCAGTAGGCGCACTTTCTGTAGCCTGAATATAGGAGACGCAGCATAAAGCAGTTCTGTAAGCTGGGTTACAGAGAGGCTGTTTACAGGAGTTCTGCAGCCTGAGTGTAGTAGACACACTTTCTGGGAATTCTGCAGGTTGGGAGTAGGCATACGCAGTATGCGCACTTTCTGTAGCCTGAATATAGGAGATGCAGCATAAAGCAGTTCTGTAGGCTGGGTGTACCGAGATGCTGTGTACAGCAATTCTGTAGCCTGAATGTAGGAGAATCACTTTATGGGAGCTCTGTAGGTAATGACTAGACATATGCACTTTGCGGTATTTCTGTAGCCTACACGCAGGAGACCCAGTTTATAGGCATTCTGTAAGCTAGCTCTAGAGTAAGCCATTTGCAGTTCTGCATCCTGAGTGTAGTAGACATAGTTATGGGAGTTCTGTTGCTTGGGAGTAGACATACGCAGTACGTGCGCTTTCTATAGCTTGAATGTAGGAGACGCAGTATAAAGCAATTCTGTAAGCTGAGTGTACACAGAGGCTGTTTACAGAAGTTCTGCAGCCTGAGTGTAGTAGACACACTTTGTGGGAATTCTGCAGCTTGGGAATAGGCATACACAGTATACGGGTTTTCTGTAGCCTGAATGTAGGAGACGCAGCATAAAGCAGTTCTGTAAGCTGGGTGTACCGAGAGGCTGTGTACAGGTTTTCTGCAGCCTGAGTGTAGTAGACACAGTTTATGGGAGTTCTGTAAATTCTGAGACGGCTTATGCACTCTTCAGGATGTTTGTGGCATGACTATAGGAAAACACTTTACGGGAGATTTGTAACATGGATGTAGAGAGACACAGATCGCAGCAGTTCTGCCGCCTGAATGTAAAAGACACAGTTTGTGGGAGTTCTGTTGCTTCCGAGTAGGCATATGCAGTATGCGCGCTTTCTGTAGCCTGAATGTAGGAGATGCGGCATAAAGCAGTTCTCTAAGCTGGGTGTACCAGAGAGGCTGTTTACAGGAGTTCTGCAGCCTGAGTGTAGTAGACACACTTTCTGGGAATTCTGCAGGTTGGGAGTAGGCATACGCAGTATGCGCACTTTCTGTAGCCTGAATATAGGAGATGCAGCATAAAGCAGTTCTGTAAGCTGGGTGTACCGAGAGGCTGTGTACAGCAATTCTGTAGCCTGAGTGTAAGAGAATCACTTTATGGGAGCTCTGTAGGTTCTGACTAGGCATATGCACTTTGCGGTATTTCTGTAGCCTACACGCAGGAGACCCAGTTTATAGGCATTCTGTAAGCTAGCTCTAGAGTAAGCCATTTGCAGTTCTGCAGCCTGAGTGTAGTAGACACAGTTTATGGGAGTTCTGTAAATTCTGAGACGGCTTATGCACTCTTCAGGATGTTTGTGGCATGACTATAGGAAAACACTTTACGGGAGATTTGCAACATGGATGTAGAGAGACACAGGTCGCAGCAGTTCTGCCGCCTGAATGTATAAGACACAGTTTATGGGAGTTCTGTGGCTTGGGAGTGAGCATAAGCAGTATGCGCGCTTTCTGTAGCCTGAATGTAGGACATGCAGCATAAAGCAGTTCTCTAAGCTGGGTGTACCCAGATGCTGTTTACAGGAGTTCTGCAGCCTGAGTGTAGTAGACACACTTTGTGGGAATTCTGCAGGTTGGGAGTAGGCTTACGCAGTATACGGGTTTTCTGCAGCCTGAGTGTACGAGATGCAGCTCACCGGAGTTCTGTATGCTGGCTGAACAGAGAGGCAGTTTACAGGAGTTCTACAGCCTGAGTGTAGTAGACACACTTTGTGGGAATTCTGTAGCTTGGAGTAGGCATACGCAGTATGCGCACTTTCTGTAGCCTGAATATAGGAGACGCAGCATAAAGCAGTTCTGTAAGCTGGGTTACAGAGAGGCTGTTACAGAAGTTCTGCAGCCTGAGTGTAGTAGACACACTTTGTGGGAATTCTGCAGGTTGGGAGTAGGCATACAGCAGTATCGGCCTTTCTGTAGCCTGAATATAGGAGATGCAGCATAAAGCAGTTCTGTAGGCTGGGTGTACCGAGAGGCTGTGTACAGCAATTCTGTAGCCTGAGTGTAAGAGAATCACTTTATGGGAGCTCTGTAGGTAATGACTAGACATATGCACTTTGCGGTATTTCTGTAGCCTACACGCAGGAGACACAGTTTATAGGCATTCTGTAAGCTAGCTCTAGAGTAAGCCATTTGCAGTTCTGCATCCTGAGTGTAGTAGACATAGTTATGGGAGTTCTGTTGCTTGGAGTAGACATACGCAGTACGTGCGCTTTCTATAGCTTGAATGTAGGAGACGCAGTATAAAGCAATTCTGTAAGCTGAGTGTACACAGAGGCTGTTTACAGGTTTTCTGCAGCCTGAGTGTAGTAGACACACTTTGTGGGAATTCTGCAGCTTGGGAATAGGCATACACAGTATACGGGTTTTCTGTAGCCTGAATGTAGGAGACGCAGCATAAAGCAGTTCTGTAAGCTGGGTGTACCGAGAGGCTGTGTACAGCAATTCTGTAGCCTGAGTGTAAGGGAATCACTTTATGGGAGCTCTGTAGGTAATGACTACACATATGCACTTTGCGGTATTTCTGTAGCCTACACGCAGGAGACCCAGTTTATAGGCATTCTGTAAGCTAGCTCTAGAGTAAGCCATTTGCAGTTCTGCATCCTGAGTGTAGTAGACATAGTTATGGGAGTTCTGTTGCTTGGGAGTAGACATACGCAGTACGTGCGCTTTCTATAGCTTGAATGTAGGAGACGCAGTATAAAGCAATTCTGTAAGCTGAGTGTACACAGAGGCTGTTTACAGAAGTTCTGCAGCCTGAGTGTAGTAGACACACTTTGTGGGAATTCTGCAGCTTGGGAATAGGCATACACAGTATACGGGTTTTCTGTAGCCTGAATGTAGGAGACGCAGCATAAAGCAGTTCTGTAAGCTGGGTGTACCGAGAGGCTGTGTACAGGTTTTCTGCAGCCTGAGTGTAGTAGACACAGTTTATGGGAGTTCTGTAAATTCTGAGACGGCTTATGCACTCTTCAGGATGTTTGTGGCATGACTATAGGAAACCACTTTACGGGAGATTTGCAACATGGATGTAGAGAGACACAGGTCGCAGCAGTTCTGCCGCCTGAATGTATAAGACACAGTTTATGGGAGTTCTGTGGCTTGGGAGTGAGCATAAGCAGTATGCGCGCTTTCTGTAGCCTGAATGTAGGACATGCAGCATAAAGCAGTTCTCTAAGCTGGGTGTACCCAGATGCTGTTTACAGGAGTTCTGCAGCCTGAGTGTAGTAGACACACTTTGTGGGAATTCTGCAGGTTGGGAGTAGGCTTACGCAGTATACGGGTTTTCTGCAGCCTGAGTGTACGAGATGCAGCTCACCGGAGTTCTGTATGCTGGCTGAACAGAGAGGCAGTTTACAGGAGTTCTACAGCCTGAGTGTAGTAGACACACTTTGTGGGAATTCTGTAGCTTGGGAGTAGGCATACGCAGTATGCGCACTTTCTGTAGCCTGAATATAGGAGACGCAGCATAAAGCAGTTCTGTAAGCTGGGTTACAGAGAGGCTGTTTACAGGAGTTCTGCAGCCTGAGTGTAGTAGACACACTTTCTGGGAATTCTGCAGGTTGGGAGTAGGCATACGCAGTATGCGCACTTTCTGTAGCCTGAATATAGGAGATGCAGCATAAAGCAGTTCTGTAGGCTGGGTGTACCGAGATGCTGTGTACAGCAATTCTGTAGCCTGAATGTAAGAGAATCACTTTATGGGAGCTCTGTAGGTAATGACTAGACATATGCACTTTGCGGTATTTCTGTAGCCTACACGCAGGAGACCCAGTTTATAGGCATTCTGTAAGCTAGCTCTAGAGTAAGCCATTTGCAGTTCTGCATCCTGAGTGTAGTAGACATAGTTATGGGAGTTCTGTTGCTTGGGAGTAGACATACGCAGTACGTGCGCTTTCTATAGCTTGAATGTAGGAGACGCAGTATAAAGCAATTCTGTAAGCTGAGTGTACACAGAGGCTGTTTACAGGTTTTCTGCAGCCTGAGTGTAGTAGACACACTTTGTGGGAATTCTGCAGCTTGGGAATAGGCATACACAGTATACGGGTTTTCTGTAGCCTGAATGTAGGAGACGCAGCATAAAGCAGTTCTGTAAGCTGGGTGTACCGAGAGGCTGTGTACAGGTTTTCTGCAGCCTGAGTGTAGTAGACACAGTTTATGGGAGTTCTGTAAATTCTGAGACGGCTTATGCACTCTTCAGGATGTTTGTGGCATGACTATAGGAAAACACTTTACGGGAGATTTGCAACATGGATGTAGAGAGACACAGGTCGCAGCAGTTCTGCCGCCTGAATGTATAAGACACAGTTTATGGGAGTTCTGTGGCTTGGGAGTGAGCATAAGCAGTATGCGCGCTTTCTGTAGCCTGAATGTAGGACATGCAGCATAAAGCAGTTCTCTAAGCTGGGTGTACCCAGATGCTGTTTACAGGAGTTCTGCAGCCTGAGTGTAGTAGACACACTTTGTGGGAATTCTGCAGGTTGGGAGTAGGCTTACGCAGTATACGGGTTTTCTGCAGCCTGAGTGTACGAGATGCAGCTCACCGGAGTTCTGTATGCTGGCTGAACAGAGAGGCAGTTTACAGGAGTTCTACAGCCTGAGTGTAGTAGACACACTTTGTGGGAATTCTGTAGCTTGGGAGTAGGCATACGCAGTAGGCGCACTTTCTGTAGCCTGAATATAGGAGACGCAGCATAAAGCAGTTCTGTAAGCTGGGTTACAGAGAGGCTGTTTACAGGAGTTCTGCAGCCTGAGTGTAGTAGACACACTTTGTGGGAATTCTGCAGGTTGGGAGTAGGCATACGCAGTATGCGCACTTTTCTGTAGCCTGAATATAGGAGATGCAGCATAAAGCAGTTCTGTAGGCTGGGTGTACCGAGAGGCTGTGTACAGCAATTCTGTAGCCTGAGTGTAAGAGAATCACTTTATGGGAGCTCTGTAGGTTATGACTAGACATATGCACTTTGCGGTATTTCTGTAGCCTACACGCAGGAGACACAGTTTATAGGCATTCTGTAAGCTAGCTCTAGAGTAAGCCATTTGCAGTTCTGCATCCTGAGTGTAGTAGACATAGTTATGGGAGTTCTGTTGCTTGGGAGTAGACATACGCAGTACGTGCGCTTTCTATAGCTTGAATGTAGGAGACGCAGTATAAAGCAATTCTGTAAGCTGAGTGTACACAGAGGCTGTTTACAGAGTTTCTGCAGCCTGAGTGTAGTAGACACACTTTGTGGGAATTCTGCAGCTTGGGAACAGGCATACACACTATACGGGTTTTCTGTAGCCTGAATGTAGGAGACGCAGCATAAAGCAGTTCTGTAAGCTGGGTGTACCGAGAGGCTGTGTACAGCAATTCTGTAGCCTGAGTGTAAGAGAATCACTTTATGGGAGCTCTGTAGGTTCTGACCTGACATATGCACTTTGTGGTATTTCTGTAGCCTACACGCAGGAGACCCATTTTATAGGCATTCTGTAACCTAGCTCTAGAGTAAGCCATTTGCAGTTCTGCATCCTGAGTGTAGTAGACATAGTTATGGGAGTTCTGTTGCTTGGGAGTAGACATACGCAGTACGTGCGCTTTCTATAGCTTGAATGTAGGAGACGCAGTATAAAGCAATTCTGTAAGCTGAGTGTACACAGAGGCTGTTTACAGGTTTTCTGCAGCCTGAGTGTAGTAGACACACTTTGTGGGAATTCTGCAGCTTGGGAACAGCATACACAGTATACGGGTTTTCTGTAGCCTGAATGTAGGAGACGCAGCATAAAGCAGTTCTGTAAGCTGGGTGTACCGAGAGGCTGTGTACAGGTTTTCTGCAGCCTGAGTGTAGTAGACACAGTTTATGGGAGTTCTGTAAATTCTGAGATGGCTTATGCACTCTTCAGGATGTTTGTGGCATGACTATAGGAAAACACTTTACGGGAGATTTGTAACAAGGATGTAGAGAGACACAGATCGCAGCAGTTCTCCAGCCTGAATGTAAAGACACAGTTTGTGGGAGTTCTGTTGCTTCCGAGTAGGCATATGCAGTATGCGCGCTTTCTGTAGCCTGAATGTAGGAGATGCGGCATAAAGCAGTTCTCTAAGCTGGGTGTACAGAGAGGCTGTTTACAGGAGTTCTGCAGCCTGAGTGTAGTAGACACACTTTGTGGGAATTCTGCAGGTTGGGAGTAGGCATACGCAGTATGCGCACTTTCTGTAGCCTGAATATAGGAGATGCAGCATAAAGCAGTTCTGTAAGCTGGGTGTACCGAGAGGCTGTGTACAGCAATTCTGTAGCCTGAATGTAAGAGAATCACTTTATGGGAGTTCTGTAGGTTCTGACTAGGCATATGCACTTTGCGGTATTTCTGTAGCCTACACGCAGGAGACCCAGTTTATAGGCATTCTGTAAGCTAGCTCTAGAGTAAGCCATTTGCAGTTCTGCAGCCTGAGTGTAGTAGACACAGTTTATGGGAGTTCTGTAAATTCTGAGACGGCTTATGCACTCTTCAGGATGTTTGTGGCATGACTATAGGAAAACACTTTACGGGAGATTTGCAACATGGATGTAGAGAGACACAGGTCGCAGCAGTTCTGCCGCCTGAATGTATAAGACACAGTTTATGGGAGTTCTGTGGCTTGGGAGTGAGCATAAGCAGTATGCGCGCTTTCTGTAGCCTGAATGTAGGACATGCAGCATAAAGCAGTTCTCTAAGCTGGGTGTACCCAGATGCTGTTTACAGGAGTTCTGCAGCCTGAGTGTAGTAGACACACTTTGTGGGAATTCTGCAGGTTGGGAGTAGGCTTACGCAGTATACGGGTTTTCTGCAGCCTGAGTGTACGAGATGCAGCTCACCGGAGTTCTGTATGCTGGCTGAACAGAGAGGCAGTTTACAGGAGTTCTACAGCCTGAGTGTAGTAGACACACTTTGTGGGAATTCTGTAGCTTGGGAGTAGGCATACGCAGTATGCGCACTTTCTGTAGCCTGAATATAGGAGATGCAGCATAAAGCAGTTCTGTAAGCTGGGTTACAGAGAGGCTGTTTACAGGAGTTCTGCAGCCTGAGTGTAGTAGACACACTTTCTGGGAATTCTGCAGGTTGGGAGTAGGCATACGCAGTATGCGCACTTTCTGTAGCCTGAATATAGGAGATGCAGCATAAAGCAGTTCTGTAGGCTGGGTGTACCGAGAGGCTGTGTACAGCAATTCTGTAGCCTGAGTGTAAGAGAATCACTTTATGGGAGCTCTGTAGGTTCTGACTAGACATATGCACTTTGCGGTATTTCTGTAGCCTACACGCAGGAGACCCAGTTTATAGGCATTCTGTAAGCTAGCTCTAGAGTAAGCCATTTGCAGTTCTGCATCCTGAGTGTAGTAGACATAGTTATGGGAGTTCTGTTGCTTGGGAGTAGACATACGCAGTACGTGCGCTTTCTATAGCTTGAATGTAGGAGACGCAGTATAAAGCAATTCTGTAAGCTGAGTGTACACAGAGGCTGTTTACAGAGTTTCTGCAGCCTGAGTGTAGTAGACACACTTTGTGGGAATTCTGCAGCTTGGGAACAGCATACACAGTATACGGGTTTTCTGTAGCCTGAATGTAGGAGACGCAGCATAAAGCAGTTCTGTAAGCTGGGTGTACCGAGAGGCTGTGTACAGCAATTCTGTAGCCTGAGTGTAAGAGAATCACTTTATGGGAGCTCTGTAGGTTCTGACCTAGACATATGCACTTTGTGGTATTTCTGTAGCCTACACGCAGGAGACCCAGTTTATAGGCATTCTGTAAGCTAGCTCTAGAGTAAGCCATTTGCAGTTCTGCATCCTGAGTGTAGTAGACATAGTTATGGAGTTCTGTTGCTTGGGAGTAGACATACGCAGTACGTGCGCTTTCTATAGCTTGAATGTAGGAGACGCAGTATAAAGCAATTCTGTAAGCTGAGTGTACACAGAGGCTGTTTACAAGGTTTCTGCAGCCTGAGTGTAGTAGACACACTTTGTGGGAATTCTGCAGCTTGGGAATAGGCATACACAGTATACGGGTTTTCTGTAGCCTGAATGTAGGAGACGCAGCATAAAGCAGTTCTGTAAGCTGGGTGTACCGAGAGGCTGTGTACAGGTTTTCTGCAGCCTGAGTGTAGTAGACACAGTTTATGGGAGTTCTGTAAATTCTGAGACGGCTTATGCACTCTTCAGGATGTTTGTGGCATGACTATAGGAAAACACTTTACGGGAGATTTGTAACATGGATGTAGAGAGACACAGATCGCAGCAGTTCTCCAGCCTGAATGTAAAGACACAGTTTGTGGGAGTTCTGTTGCTTCCGAGTAGGCATATGCAGTATGCGCGCTTTCTGTAGCCTGAATGTAGGAGATGCGGCATAAAGCAGTTCTCTAAGCTGGGTGTACAGAGAGGCTGTTTACAGGAGTTCTGCAGCCTGAGTGTAGTAGACACACTTTGTGGGAATTCTGCAGGTTGGGAGTAGGCATACGCAGTATGCGCACTTTCTGTAGCCTGAATATAGGAGATGCAGCATAAAGCAGTTCTGTAAGCTGGGTGTACCGAGAGGCTGTGTACAGCAATTCTGTAGCCTGAATGTAAGAGAATCACTTTATGGGAGTTCTGTAGGTTCTGACTAGGCATATGCACTTTGCGGTATTTCTGTAGCCTACACGCAGGAGACCCAGTTTATAGGCATTCTGTAAGCTAGCTCTAGAGTAAGCCATTTGCAGTTCTGCAGCCTGAGTGTAGTAGACACAGTTTATGGGAGTTCTGTAAATTCTGAGACGGCTTATGCACTCTTCAGGATGTTTGTGGCATGACTATAGGAAAACACTTTACGGGAGATTTGCAACATGGATGTAGAGAGACACAGGTCGCAGCAGTTCTGCCGCCTGAATGTATAAGACACAGTTTATGGGAGTTCTGTGGCTTGGGAGTGAGCATAAGCAGTATGCGCGCTTTCTGTAGCCTGAATGTAGGACATGCAGCATAAAGCAGTTCTCTAAGCTGGGTGTACCCAGATGCTGTTTACAGGAGTTCTGCAGCCTGAGTGTAGTAGACACACTTTGTGGGAATTCTGCAGGTTGGGAGTAGGCTTACGCAGTATACGGGTTTTCTGCAGCCTGAGTGTACGAGATGCAGCTCACCGGAGTTCTGTATGCTGGCTGAACAGAGAGGCAGTTTACAGGAGTTCTACAGCCTGAGTGTAGTAGACACACTTTGTGGGAATTCTGTAGCTTGGGAGTAGGCATACGCAGTAGGCGCACTTTCTGTAGCCTGAATATAGGAGACGCAGCATAAAGCAGTTCTGTAAGCTGGGTTACAGAGAGGCTAGTTTACAGGAGTTCTGCAGCCTGAGTGTAGTAGACACACTTTGTGGGAATTCTGCAGGTTGGGAGTAGGCATACGCAGTATGCGCACTTTCTGTAGCCTGAATATAGGAGATGCAGCATAAAGCAGTTCTGTAGGCTGGGTGTACCGAGAGGCTGTGTACAGCAATTCTGTAGCCTGAGTGTAAGAGAATCACTTTATGGGAGCTCTGTAGGTTCTGACTAGACATATGCACTTTGCGGTATTTCTGTAGCCTACACGCAGGAGACCCAGTTTATAGGCATTCTGTAAGCTAGCTCTAGAGTAAGCCATTTGCAGTTCTGCATCCTGAGTGTAGTAGACATAGTTATGGGAGTTCTGTTGCTTGGGAGTAGACATACGCAGTACGTGCGCTTTCTATAGCTTGAATGTAGGAGACGCAGTATAAAGCAATTCTGTAAGCTGAGTGTACACAGAGGCTGTTTACAGGTTTTCTGCAGCCTGAGTGTAGTAGACACACTTTGTGGGAATTCTGCAGCTTGGGAATAGGCATACACACTATACGGGTTTTCTGTAGCCTGAATGTAGGAGACGCAGCATAAAGCAGTTCTGTAAGCTGGGTGTACCGAGAGGCTGTGTACAGCAATTCTGTAGCCTGAGTGTAAGGGAATCACTTTATGGGAGCTCTGTAGGTAATGACTAGACATATGCACTTTGCTGGTATTTCTGTAGCCTACACGCAGGAGACCCAGTTTATAGGCATTCTGTAAGCTAGCTCTAGAGTAAGCCATTTGCAGTTCTGCATCCTGAGTGTAGTAGACATAGTTATGGAAGTTCTGTTGCTTGGGAGTAGACATACGCAGTACGTGCGCTTTCTATAGCTTGAATGTAGGAGACGCAGTATAAAGCAATTCTGTAAGCTGAGTGTACACAGAGGCTGTTTACAGAAGTTTCTGCAGCCTGAGTGTAGTAGACACACTTTGTGGGAATTCTGCAGCTTGGGAATAGGCATACACAGTATACGGGTTTTCTGTAGCCTGAATGTAGGAGACGCAGCATAAAGCAGTTCTGTAAGCTGGGTGTACCGAGAGGCTGTGTACAGGTTTTCTGCAGCCTGAGTGTAGTAGACACAGTTTATGGAGTTCTGTAAATTCTGAGACTGGCTTATGCACTCTTCAGGATGTTTGTGGCATGACTATAGGAAAACACTTTACGGGAGATTTGTAACATGGATGTAGAGAGACACAGATCGCAGCAGTTCTGCCGCCTGAATGTAAAAGACACAGTTTGTGGGAGTTCTGTTGCTTCCGAGTAGGCATATGCAGTATGCGCGCTTTCTGTAGCCTGAATGTAGGAGATGCGGCATAAAGCAGTTCTCTAAGCTGGGTGTACAGAGAGGCTGTTTACAGGAGTTCTGCAGCCTGAGTGTAGTAGACACACTTTCTGGGAATTCTGCAGGTTGGGAGTAGGCATACGCAGTATGCGCACTTTCTGTAGCCTGAATATAGGAGATGCAGCATAAAGCAGTTCTGTAAGCTGGGTGTACCGAGAGGCTGTGTACAGCAATTCTGTAGCCTGAGTGTAAGAGAATCACTTTATGGGAGCTTCTGTAGGTTCTGACTAGGCATATGCACTTTGCGGTATTTCTGTAGCCTACACGCAGGAGACCCAGTTTATAGGCATTCTGTAAGCTAGCTCTAGAGCAAGCCATTTGCAGTTCTGCAGCCTGAGTGTAGTAGACACAGTTTATGGGAGTTCTGTAAATTCTGAGACTGGCTTATGCACTCTTCAGGATGTTTGTGGCATGACTATAGGAAAACACTTTACGGGAGATTTGCAACATGGATGTAGAGAGACACAGGTCGCAGCAGTTCTGCCGCCTGAATGTATAAGACACAGTTTATGGGAGTTCTGTGGCTTGGGAGTGAGCATAAGCAGTATGCGCGCTTTCTGTAGCCTGAATGTAGGACATGCAGCATAAAGCAGTTCTCTAAGCTGGGTGTACCCAGATGCTGTTTACAGGAGTTCTGCAGCCTGAGTGTAGTAGACACACTTTGTGGGAATTCTGCAGGTTGGGAGTAGGCTTACGCAGTATACGGGTTTTCTGCAGCCTGAGTGTACGAGACGCAGCTCACCGGAGTTCTGTATGCTGGCTGAACAGAGAGGCAGTTTACAGGAGTTCTACAGCCTGAGTGTAGTAGACACACTTTGTGGGAATTCTGTAGCTTGGGAGTAGGCATACGCAGTATGCGCACTTTCTGTAGCCTGAATATAGGAGACGCAGCATAAAGCAGTTCTGTAAGCTGGGTTACAGAGAGGCTGTTTACAGAAGTTCTGCAGCCTTAGTGTAGTAGACACACTTTGTGGGAATTCTGCAGGTTGGGAGTAGGCATACACACTATACGGGTTTTCTGTAGCCTGAATGTAGGAGATGCAGCATAAAGCAGTTCTGTAGGCTGGGTGTACCGAGAGGCTGTGTACAGCAATTCTGTAGCCTGAGTGTAAGAGAATCACTTTATGGGAGCTCTGTAGGTAATGACTAGACATATGCACTTTGCGGTATTTCTGTAGCCTACACGCAGGAGACACAGTTTATAGGCATTCTGTAAGCTAGCTCTAGAGTAAGCCATTTGCAGTTCTGCATCCTGAGTGTAGTAGACATAGTTATGGGAGTTCTGTTGCTTGGGAGTAGACATACGCAGTACGTGCGCTTTCTATAGCTTGAATGTAGGAGACGCAGTATAAAGCAATTCTGTAAGCTGAGTGTACACAGAGGCTGTTTACAGGTTTTCTGCAGCCTGAGTGTAGTAGACACACTTTGTGGGAATTCTGCAGCTTGGGAATAGGCATACACAGTATACGGGTTTTCTGTAGCCTGAATGTAGGAGACGCAGCATAAAGCAGTTCTGTAAGCTGGGTGTACCGAGAGGCTGTGTACAGGTTTTCTGCAGCCTGAGTGTAGTAGACACAGTTTATGGGAGTTCTGTAAATTCTGAGACGGCTTATGCACTCTTCAGGATGTTTGTGGCATGACTATAGGAAAACACTTTACGGGAGATTTGCAACATGGATGTAGAGAGACACAGGTCGCAGCAGTTCTGCCGCCTGAATGTATAAGACACAGTTTATGGGAGTTCTGTGGCTTGGGAGTGAGCATAAGCAGTATGCGCGCTTTCTGTAGCCTGAATGTAGGACATGCAGCATAAAGCAGTTCTCTAAGCTGGGTGTACCCAGATGCTGTTTACAGGAGTTCTGCAGCCTGAGTGTAGTAGACACACTTTGTGGGAATTCTGCAGGTTGGGAGTAGGCTTACGCAGTATACGGGTTTTCTGCAGCCTGAGTGTACGAGATGCAGCTCACCGGAGTTCTGTATGCTGGCTGAACAGAGAGGCAGTTTACAGGAGTTCTACAGCCTGAGTGTAGTAGACACACTTTGTGGGAATTCTGTAGCTTGGGAGTAGGCATACGCAGTATGCGCACTTTCTGTAGCCTGAATATAGGAGACGCAGCATATAGCAGTTCTGTAAGCTGGGTTACAGAGAGGTTGTTTACAGAAGTTCTGCAGCCTTAGTGTAGTAGACACACTTTGTGGGAATTCTGCAGGTTGGGAGTAGGCATACACACTATACGGGTTTTCTGTAGCCTGAATGTAGGAGACGCAGCATAAAGCAGTTCTGTAAGCTGGGTGTACCGAGAGGCTGTGTACAGCAATTCTGTAGCCTGAGTGTAAGGGAATCACTTTATGGGAGCTCTGTAGGTAATGACTAGACATATGCACTTTGCGGTATTTCTGTAGCCTACACGCAGGAGACACAGTTTATAGGCATTCTGTAAGCTAGCTCTAGAGTAAGCCATTTGCAGTTCTGCATCCTGAGTGTAGTAGACATAGTTATGGGAGTTCTGTTGCTTGGGAGTAGACATACGCAGTACGTGCGCTTTCTATAGCTTGAATGTAGGAGACGCAGTATAAAGCAATTCTGTAAGCTGAGTGTACACAGAGGCTGTTTACAGGTTTTCTGCAGCCTGAGTGTAGTAGACACACTTTCTGGGAATTCTGCAGGTTGGGAGTAGGCATACACACTATACGGGTTTTCTGTAGCCTGAATGTAGGAGACGCAGCATAAAGCAGTTCTGTAAGCTGGGTGTACCGAGAGGCTGTGTACAGCAATTCTGTAGCCTGAGTGTAAGGGAATCACTTTATGGGAGCTCTGTAGGTAATGACTAGACATATGCACTTTGCGGTATTTCTGTAGCCTACACGCAGGAGACCCAGTTTATAGGCATTCTGTAAGCTAGCTCTAGAGTAAGCCATTTGCAGTTCTGCATCCTGAGTGTAGTAGACATAGTTATGGGAGTTCTGTTGCTTGGGAGTAGACATACGCAGTACGTGCGCTTTCTATAGCTTGAATGTAGGAGACGCAGTATAAAGCAATTCTGTAAGCTGAGTGTACACAGAGGCTGTTTACAGAAGTTCTGCAGCCTGAGTGTAGTAGACACACTTTGTGGGAATTCTGCAGCTTGGGAATAGGCATACACAGTATACGGGTTTTCTGTAGCCTGAATGTAGGAGACGCAGCATAAAGCAGTTCTGTAAGCTGGGTGTACCGAGAGGCTGTGTACAGGTTTTCTGCAGCCTGAGTGTAGTAGACACAGTTTATGGGAGTTCTGTAAATTCTGAGACGGCTTATGCACTCTTCAGGATGTTTGTGGCATGACTATAGGAAAACACTTTACGGGAGATTTGTAACATGGATGTAGAGAGACACAGATCGCAGCAGTT